AGTTACAATCGATTTTAATTAATTAGCAAGATAGTGAAAAAAGGACACTAGCTTTTGCCCTCGACTTCGTAAGCGGAATCCGAAAACTACGGGTGTTTCCCGTTGGACCGATCGGTCCACCGATCGATCGTCCCATTGGGATTTATTCTACTAGAACGATGGAATACATACAATTAATAGACATAATGAATAAAAATTCCAACGGATCGATCGATTGATGAGCTGATATATGTGACTATCGGTTCAACGGGAAACTCCCAAAAAACTTGACAAGTGACCTATGTAAAGTTTTTAAAATATATATCAAATATCAATCAGAGTGTTTTGATCCGTTTGGCCTTATCGCAGTTACATGGCAACAAAACTCTATCCATCTATCGAAACCTTAGTGTTTTACGATTAGATTTAAAATTAATGAAGTATGTATGATACGTTATCTTGTTGTCTTAACGAGGTAAAATCAAAATACAGTGTTAATTCGTAACACGGAACTGTATTTATATTATGAAAAGCGTTCGCGGAAAAATACGGTTTTATATTCTGCAGATAAATGATCATTCCACCGCCGCTTTATCGGAATGCCTCACGATAAACTTCATTACGATATGTTTTCCCTTCCTGAAATATGGCTATATTATTAGTCAAGACTTTAACTTCGAATTTATTAATTAACTAGTTTAAGCAAGCGTCTCCATCCGCGTGGTACTAAAAACAAAACAAAAAGTCGCTTATGTATTCTTGTAGATGATCCATCACGTCTATGCCATTTTTACCAAATTTTTTCAGGCGTTTAGGCTACAAACTATAACAATCCGTCCATCTTCGCAATTATAATATTACTAAGACTGTTATAACATTAGAGGTGTTTAATTTTAAATAAATTAACACATTTACCTACAACGCGTCGGCAAAAAACGAGAATTGTTGCAAACCGTCCAAAAGCGATAAGTTGCATATTTGGGGCATGTTTTGCGACATGAAAGATATTAGCTTCTCCAACTCATTATGATGGGCAAAGTCGCAGACAGAAGACGCGTTGTAAGGAAAAGGAAATCATGGCTAAGAAACATCCGGGAGTGGACAAGTATCGCCAGCGTCGAACAACTTTTTCGCTTGGCACAGGACAGGGTGAGATTCGCTGAGCTGACGGCCAACCTCCAGTAATGGAGAGGCATTAGAAGAAGAAGAAGAAGAACACATTTACGTATAAGTATAAACCCGTCGTCCAGTCCAAATACCGCTGGCAAGATGCCGTAGAGCTGGATCGACGTGAGCTAGAGTCGATCAACTGGCGACAACGCAGGACAGACGAGGCTTCGCTCTCTCGTGTCGGAGGCCAAGAACCACTTTGGTTCGCTGCGCCAACGCAGTAACAGTAACGTATAAGTATTGGACCCGTGCGAGTAGCTAGTATTTTAATAAGTGTATAGGGTACACGAGTGGGGGAAAATTAAAGGTCCTCATTGACGCTCATAGACAACACCAGAGGAACAACAGATCCATGGCTTTCAAATGCTCGAACAACTAATTAAAAAACCATCAAAATGTAAAATTAATTTTAAAAGCGGCTCTATTAAAACAAGAAATATGTACCGTGTAAATTAAAATAATCTGTACTAATATTATAAAGAGGAGAGATTTGTGTTTTTGTATGTATTGGATTGGCTCGGGGGCTGCTGCGCCGATTTCAAATTCTTTCACCGTTTGTGTGTGAGTAAAATAGTCTAAGTTTCTTTATTATTTTTTATATGTTATAAACTAAGTGACTAGTAGTTACACATAAATCATGTGGGTTCCTGTACCGCTTATAACATTTCCTTATTGTATTTTTAAATTTATGTTTTTGTCCAATAAAAAAAAACCCTACCAATATCTACTTTTACGCCACAAACTCTCATCAATGTCTCAAAGCCTATTTATACATTGCTAATAAGAATATAGATAACAAAAATAAAAATTTAAGTTAAGGTACTCCGTGATAATTCAGCTTTTTAATGGTAAAAGAAATTTTTTAATCGACCTAGTAGTTTTTGAGTTATGACAATACATACAAAAAATCCAAAAATACAAATCTTTCCTCTTAGAATATTCATCATCCACTTGCCCTTATCCCTTATGGAGGGTCGGCACAGTATGTGCTGCTCTTCCATACATCTTACAAAAATAATAAATTTTTAAATGGACCTAGTAGTTTTTGAGTTATTTATTTATTTTTATAGGAATGCCAACAAAATGCCAGTTATGACAATACATACAAAAAATCCAAAAATACAAATCTTTCCTCTTAGAATATAAGTTTATATTATTATATTATAGTTCTAAGTAAAAAGCTAGCCGTTCGGAAGTCATTTACAATTAACTACCGGATTATATTGTTTATTCACTTACCATCTGTTCCATTGGAAACAAATGACAGTCAAAGCCAAGTAACGACTTTGCTGCCTCTTATTGTCATCCAATTACAATAATACTCTTGTAAGAATGCGGTTACCTTTTCTGTTGACGTATTTATTTACTATTTTTGTATGATTATAATATGATGTTTGTTTCCGTGACTGAAAACATTATCTTTTAGATTTGAAAAGAGAACAAAGATTCTTTTAACTGGCTGCAGCTCGCGACTTCGTCCGCGTGAAGTTAAAAAAGCAATAACAAAAAATATATTTTGTTTTAGTCATAGATATGGTGACCTTTGGTATACCTTTGTGGTGAAAGAATTTTCTAAATCGGCCTTGTAGTATATATAGAATAGGATGGGAAGGGGAAGTGGATTTGACGGTGGAGGACATGCATAGGAAGGGGAAATATCTTCTGTATGTGCGTCTCCTCCTCCGTCGGATAAGGGTAGACAAGGCATCTGCAACTGCGGATGTCTATGGGTAGCGGTCGCTTCGCCATTTTGGCTGATCAGGTGGCCGCTTGCTCGTTTGTCACCTTGTGTTATAAAAAAAACTTGTTTACTGACTTTTAATAATTCAAACCTCACGTTCGTTGTGGGTGTCTTATGCGGATGTACTACGACACTCTAAAAAGACGAATAAACAGATACCTCATTTGTCAAAATCGGTTTACCCGTTTAGACTATAGGCACATTGGAATTTACATAGATACAAACTTCAATAACAAACATACGAGAGGAAAATAACTCTTTTTATCAGTCGGGTAACAACAAAACTGTGAAAGATATTAACACTTATATTATGTAAAATATATCAGTTGGCTCAATAATAATTTGATAAGCGCACAATAAATATAAATAAAATAATAATTTGTGCGATAAGAAAGTCTGTTCATAAGTAGATAAAACTGGTTACCACAAGACTATATTTGTTATTATTTTGATATTGTTTAAATATATGCTAACTCATATCGCTACTACATTTCGATACCTATAGTGTTCTTATAAGATTGTGATTATTTTTATCAAAAAGTTATTGCATCATATTTATGCTAATACTTACTTCAATTTAATATTTATTGTAATTAGATTTAAAAAATAAAAACAAAAACATGAATTAAAATTTATTTAGTTTTACAAAAGTACACTTTCTCTATACCATAATAGAGGCTTAATTCTAGTCCTATTCCCTCTGTTCACAATATTCCTACAAGGAGAGGATGGGAAGGATAAATGTATATGGAGGTGCACACTACTAGATATTTAGTTGTGCAACTATAGTGTGTCTAAATAATTTAGATTAGTTTGACAATTCATTTCAAATTTAGTAGGGATGGGTTGTGTAAAATCAGTCATGAATCTTATCGATTGTCGATTTACTATTCTTATAGAAGTTGGAATCGATAGATTTATAGTCAAATTAATATTGACCATAACAAATAATGAGAGTAAATGTTTAATACCACTACAGCCGTACGTAATCGAATTGGATTTCGCTATTATTTCTGTCATCGCTAAATTCTCTACACTATAATCAATACTAGAATTGTCCAATAAATTAGTTATTAAGAAATTAATAATTTTAGAAGAGTTCGATAATTATTTAAACCGAATATCGATAGGTCAAAATTGTTCACTATGCGTGTTTGCTTCGTCACTACGATACCTGTCTATTAAATATGGCATTTGCTTTCATACAAATTGAATTCGATACTTCATATGCGTCATTTATCAAACTAATCTATCTTATTTAGACAAACTACAGACGAACTATTTTGCATCGGGGCTCGTATATGTCACTTTAAAAATGTATAATCACTGTTTTCGATAATTTGTTATTTGTTAACGTCACATATGGGAAGTTTATTGACAATCGTATTTCAATAATAATTTCTGATAATGCGTATATCAGCAAGCGATAAAACGGTTAACATATCTCCAATCTAAATTGTAATTGAAACATTGCCTAATATTTTTATGATTGGGCCAACAATATTCATTAATGTAAGCAATTTTATTAAAATACCTAGCTGTTCCCGTGTTTCATCCGCATGAAATTATGAAAATTTTATTTTATTGTTTACATTTGTCAAATTATTAATAGCAAATGTCAAAATGACATGACATAACAAACCTTAGCAATCTTGCTTTCTTGATGTTGGCAGCAACTTATGGTCTCTTTCCCATATTAGAGTTTTTATCCAAAATATTTATCCCCTAAGTTTAATAGCGTGATAATATATAGCCTAAAGCGTGACGTAAGTATAGGGTTTTTTCTTAAAAAAAGAGTTATTCATTAACATGCTGTAATTGCTGAGATCTTAGGCAACAAAGAAGTGTGTGTTTACGCTTTATTATAATAGTATAGACATGTAGATAAATGATCCCGCGCGGTTTTGATCCAAATTTACTTTGAAAATGAAATGAAATAATTTTAACACAATAAAAATGAAAAACATTTTATTAAAGACAATAAACATAAAATTGAAAACAATCAATTATACTTAAAATTATATAATATCAAAATTTTAATCCCTGTTATTTTAAATTACTATTTGTGGTAATACTGGTTGTATTGTTTACATTTGTCAAAGTTAAAAATATTCTGTTATTGCTGATATCCTACATAACAAAGAAGTATGTGTTCACGCTTTATTGCACTAATAGTATACATTAGTGTGATATTTCATATCGCATATTTCGGACAATATTTTTGGTAAATTCCTTCCCAAAATTCCAACTCATCTTTGTCCGGTGAGCTACCAAGAACCAAATTTTCACCTATGTCCAAATATTCTTGTCCTTCCAAAGTGTACGGCTGCCAAACAACACCAAGACTCTCATCGGGAGTTGGGTTACTGCGAAATAAAGGAAACAATTAACTACAAAACAAAATCAGTTACCAGCTTTTTTATACTAGGAGGTAGCAAACATGCGACTCAATTGAATTCGGGGATGTTTCTTGCGCGCACACTCATACTGTGTAATCGTGATATTTTACTGAGCGAGTCAGCCCATCCAGGTGTAGATGTTATAAAACGAGCTTTGACTTGAAGGAGAACTTTGACGTAAGGCAAGCTGCACGTATCTCAGAACAAATTAAACCTAGTCTGATGTAAATCAGTGTAAGAGATGACAATAATAATGATATATCTCCGAAGTATAAAACTTGACTATGGTTTCATTGCTAAAAAATAGTTTGAATTTAATTATAAGGTCACTCACCCGTATTTTGCAAAATTTGTCCAGAGTTTTGTAACTTGATCAATCATCTTAAAAACTCTAGAGTTTACATCCAGTTTTGGGTTTAAATCTGCTAACATTTTTATGTGGAAGATATAAGGAAGATCGTCCGCATGACTGACTAAGGCCTTATCTCTCAAAACAATATCTTCGACTCCCATTACATGTTTGAAAACATTAAACTCAGATTTGCAGGTGAATTTATATAGAAAAACTCTGTTTTTCCCCCTTTTTGCGCAATGTTTTTGGAACGAAATCGTTGGATATTTAAAGTTTTCAGTACCAAAATACTTTTGCAAATAGTACACGTTTTCCATAGAAACATCTTCGTCCTTAAAATAAAAGTTTTTTATCATTTTACCTATTTTTATTTGATCGATTAGAGGACAATGTATAGCGATTGATCTCGGTACGAAAAATTCTGGATACTTATTAGCCTGGTCGAACATTTTATACACGCTATAACCGCACCCAAGGAATAAAACTCCCTCATCTTCAGTAAAGCCTTCCATAACATCCACACCTTCATGTATACCAGAATTACGTAATATTTCAATTGCTTCGTCGACCATAAAACGTTCATTATTTCCAAATTGTTTTTCTACAACAATATTGAAGGGCACAATAAGAGCTTCTTTGTTTGATTCTGCATACGACATTGTAACGTGTTTCTTAACAAGTGCTTCAATAGGTTGTGCCTTTAAAAACTGGCAAATTACCCTATCGTCCTTTGAGTTACATCCTAATTCTCGAGCTAATTGTAGTGATCTTTCTTTAACCATAAAACCTGTTGCCCAATGCGTGATAGCGAGTCCACTTTGTGGTATGGCTCTTTTAAACAATCCTTTACTCATAGGTGATAAAAGGTGAAAACAAACGCTGCCCCCTCCTGCACTTTCTCCAAAAATGGTTACGTTATCAGGGTCACCTCCAAAGTTACTAATATTCTTTTGGACCCATCTAAGTGCAGCGACCTGGTCTTTCATGCCCGCGTTACCGGGCACGTCTTCGGTATCCAGACAAAGGAATCCAAGGACCTCTAGTCTATAGTTAAACGTGACAAGAATAACGTCATGTCTTATTAAATAATTGGGTCCGTATACTTCATCTGAACCAGATCCACCGGTGAAACCCCCACCATGGATGAAAACCATTACCGGCATCGGTTCGGTTGGATTTAGTTTCGGTGAGAAAACATTAAGGTACAGGCAATCTTCGCTTCCCAAATTCACTGAGCGTGAAAAAACATTATATTGATAGCACTCGTTTCCTAACTTCTTTGCATCTCGTACTCCACTCCAAGGTATAACTGGCTGAGGTGCCTGTAAAATTATAATACAAGAATAGTATTTTATAAAATAAGAATATCCGTGGCATTGTACTTGAGAGCTAGTCCGAACCGGATATTATTCTACACCACGTTCGATTGTAATTTAAGTAATAAATGATACTTCATTTTTTTAAAGATAAGATTATCGTCAACTCAGATATTGCAGTGTTAATAAGGTCTTGGCTCATTAAGTAGAACAACCTGTGTTTAAGGAGCCAATTCCTTCTGTTTTAATTACATGTTATCAAAAAAAAATTCAAAGGCATTTGTTTAGAATGCATTTATTACAAGACATTTAAGTTGTTACTAATTATAAATGATAGAAATAAATAAAAATTACATGTTAACTGTCTGACATGTGTGCTTGTGTGTGTGCGTGTGTGAGTTATTTAACTTTTTTTAATGTTAATTATACTTGAACTATAAAAAAGCAACAGATTATTACTTTTCGACTTTACGTGATCATAGATTTTTACACGCCTACATTAATAAAGCTTTTTATCTTGAATTAAATCTATTTGAATAAATAAAAAACGAGAAAGCAAAAGATTACATTACACTAAACACCAATTACATCAGATTTCGTAAGAGTTTCTTAGACTATTTTGTTGAGTATAGAATATTCTAGCTTTCGACCGCGACTTTGTGCACGTGGAGATTAAAAAAAAAAGTGAATGTATTCCTCCAGACTGTGCTCTACATCTATGCCAAATTTCATCTAGATTCGTTCAACCGTTTAGGCGGCAAACTCTAACAAACAACCATCCGTCTATACGTTTTTATAATATTGGTAAGATTTACCTTGAACCTCAGGTCTCCTATTGGTGGTTGGGCATATGGAATGCCTTTGAATCTGAATATTTTTCTTCCATATTCATTGTTGGTCACCTCACCTTCCAATACACCATCGTTGATTCGTACCCTCACCATTTTTAATAATCTTAGAAGATTATTAGACTTATCGACAACGACTGAAGTCGTAAAGGAATGTCGTGCGATTATAAATAATATTTTTGCTGATTCACATTCAATTCGGGTTTTACGAAATACGTCTTTACTTGCACGCGTTACCAACACTTATCATTTAGCAAGATATGTATAATTGTCTATTGGATTGATGAGTCAATGCTTTAGGAACACGTTTTTTAAACAAGAGAAGGTCAATATTTGTCGTGCAAGAGTTTTTGTTTAAAGATTAGTGTTTTTCTTCAAAGTAAAATTTAGAGAGAAGATTTTTTTAATTTTTTTTTTATGAAATCAAATTAAATACTTAGTTACAAAAGTAATTTATTCGAAACTAGCTGCTCCCGTGCGGCTTCATCCGCATGAAATTAAGAAAATTTTATTTCATTGTTTACATCTGTCAAATTATCAATAGCAAATGTCAAACTGACATCACACGACAAACTTTGGTAATCTCGTTGGTAACCTTAATGTTGGCAGCAACTTGTGGTCTCTTTGCTACATCAGGGTTTTCTTTTCCAAAATATTTACCCCTAAGTTTAATGGCGTGAAAATATATAGCCTAAAGCATGACGTAAGTGTAGGGACTTTTATTAAAAAAAGAATTATTTAAAAATATGCTGCAATTGCTGACATCTAAGGCAACAAAGAAGTACATATGTGTTTACGTTTTATTATAATAGTATAGATCGAAAACATAAAGCTGGAAACAGTAGATATATTTTATCTTTGTGATATCAGGTATAATAACTATTGCAACATGAAATCTATATATTATCTATAATGGTATAAACAATTATGTGTTTTTTTTTCTATACTAATATATTATAGCGTAAACTTATACTACTTTGTGGCGTAGGATGTCAGCAATCACACCATGTTTTTGAATAATTATTTTTTTAATAAAAAGCCCTACACTTGCGATACGCTTTAGACTATTTGTATTTACGCCGTTAAACTTAGGGGGAAATATTTTGGATAAAAATAAAAACTAATGTGGGAATGGGACCATAAACTACAAGCTGTCAACATCAAGTAAGCAAAGTTGTCATTTATGCATTTGAATTTTGTCATTTGACAAATATAAACAATAAAATTAAGTGATAATTTCGGATGAAGCCGCACGGGAACAGCTTGTTTATTATACAAAATTAAGAACTAAACTACTGAGTATTTATTCACCAAATGTTTTCCCGCAATTTACAAAAATAATCTTTTTAGAATATCATCATCACCAGCTTACTATACGTCCCCACTGAGGGGTTCGGAGCCTACCCTAAGTTAGAATATCCCGTAAACCAATTACAACCTTTAAAGTAATTTTAGATCTAAAGTTTAAAATATTTTCTTGTCTCAAATTATGAAACAGACACAATATTGAATTAAAAATAAAATATATATTGCTACATCGAAGTATTTGAAAATATTTTGATTACGGAATTATATTTTATAGCGCATACTTTGGACAGTATTTCTTAAAAATACGTTCCCAGAATTCCAGTTCATCCTTGTTTGGTGCAGTACCGGCCACTAAATTTGTACCGATGTCCAAAAAGTCCTGGCCTTCTAAAGAGTATGGTTTCCAAATAACGCCGAGACTTTCATCGGGTGTTGGGTTACTGCGAATAAAACAATATTAAATAAATAACATTGTTAAACAGATACAAAATAAATATCAGTTACAATTACATTTTATCTTACCCGTATTTAGCAAAATTCGTCCAAAGCTTTGTTATTTGATCTATCAACTTAAATACACGTGAAATATCGATATTTGGGTTATTTGTGGTGAACATTTTCATAGGGAACAGATAAGGAAGTTCATCACAATGACAGGCTATAGCCCTATCTCCCACAATATCTTCGACTCCCAGTACGTGCTTGAAAATATTTAATTCTGATTTGCAGGTAAATGTATAAAAGAAAACCTTATTTTTTCCTCTTTTTGCACACATTTTTTGAAATAAAATTGTGGGATATTTAAAGTATTCTGTGCCAAGATACTGTTGCAAAGTGTACACGTTGTCCATAGAAACGTCGTCATCTTTAAAATAGTAATTCTTTATCATTTTGCCTACTTCTATTTGATCGACTAGTGGACAATGTAGAGCGATTGGTCTCGGTACGAAAAATTCGGGATACTTATTCGCCTGGGGGAACATTTTATAGACGTTTTGACCGGATCCTAGAAATAAAACTCCCTCATCTTCAGTGTAGCCTTCCATAACATCCACTCCCTCATGTATGCCAGAATTACGTAATACATCGATAGCTTCACTAACCATGAACCGTTCGTTATTTCCAAATTGTTTTTCTGCCGTTATACTAAAGGGGACAATAAGAGCTGCCTTATTTGTTTCCTGATAGGTTACTGTAATGTTTTTCTTAACAAGTGCTTCAACAGGTTGTGCTTTTAAAAATTTGGACACCTCCTTTACGTCTTTTGAAGTACATCCTAGTTCTCTAGCTAATTGTAACGATCTTTCTTTAATCTCAAAACTTGTTCCCCAACAAGTGATAGCCTGTCCACTTTGTGGTATGGCTCTCTTAAACAATCCTTTGCTCATGGGTGATAAAAGGTGGAAAGAAACACTCGAACCTCCGGCACTTTCTCCGAAAATCGTAACGTTGTTAGGATCTCCTCCAAAGTTGCTGATATTCTTTTGAACCCATCTAAGTGCAGCAACCTGATCTTTCATGCCCGCATTACCCGGTGCGTCTTCCGTGTCCAGGCAAAGGAATCCGAGGACCTCGAGTCTATAGTTAAACGAGACAAGAATAACATCATTTCTTACTAAGTAATCTGGTCCGTACATCTCATCGGAACCACTTCCGCTGGAAAATCCTCCTCCGTGAATCCAAACCATGACCGGCAGCGGTTTTGCGGGTTTTATATTCGGTGAAAACACATTAAGGTAAAGGCAGTCTTCGCTTCCAGCAATAAATTCTCGAAGAAAGAAAACATCGTATTGCTGACATGGATTTCCCAACTTCTTAGCATCTCGCACTCCGCTCCAAGGTTTTGGTGGCAAAGGAGCCTGTGGGACAAAAAATAAAACGTGTGTAATAAAACCACAGAAGGAAAGGTGTAAGAAAAAAATTGAAACATAGCTACTAAATATATATGCGGACGAATTAGTACATTATTGGTTACAAAGAGTGTCTCGGTATACTGTATTTCATGTTTTCTTTTTATTTTCCTTATATCCCTATATTCTTATATTCTTATATCCATAGGGATAAAAATTATATATAGATATAATTTTTATAAATTACAATGTGTTAGTATAATAAGTATTTCGTTAATAGTTACATGCGTATTTTTATGGCTGCTGTTTTCGCGTATAAATTGCTCTGGCAGTTTGGCAGAGACTCGTACTAAAAAATAAAATGATACCTTTTATATTCCTATCGGTCGATCTCCGTTTCAAAAGCTAATTAACATTTTGTTTTTGCTTAATTCTAAAATTGACTACTGCCATGTAACATCCATGTATATGTATGTAACAGTTGCTAAGTATTGAGCGTTTGCAGGTTTTTATTACTTACATGTTTAAGAAATAAAACAAAGTATTGGGCGCAAGTGAGTGTGTGTATCTGTCAGTATGAGATCTGTCGTTTATATTATTACTTCGTCCACGTGGAATTAAAAAAAACATCAAAGACTAATCTATCTATACTATTATAATAAAGCGTAAACACACACTTCTTTGTTGTCTAAGACGTCAGCAATTACAGCATATTTTTGAATAATTCTTTTTTTAATAAAAAAGCCCTACACTTACGTTACGCTTTAGGTTATATATTTTAACGCCATTAAACTTAGGGGATAAATATTTTGGATAAAAACCCTAATGTGGGAAAGAGACCATAAGTTGCTGCCAACATTAAGGAAGCAAGTTTGTCATCATGTCATGTCATTTTGACATTTGTAATTTGACAAATGTAAACAATAAAATAAAATTTTCATAATTTCATGCGGATGAAGTCGCATGGGAACAGCTAGTTATTAATAATTAAAAATATTAAAGACTACCTATGTTACTCAGTGATAACGTAGCTTTTTGTTGATGAAAAGGATTTTGGAATCGTATTTATTAGTTTTTGAGTTCTTTCAATACACTCAAAAATACAAATACCATACTTTTTCTTTATACTATTAGTATGTTTCACTGCAAAATAACTCGGAAAGGTCTTAATATTTATAAATTTATGGTGAAATTCCAAAAAGGTCACTATATCATCTTTGTCTATTCCGAACATCTCGTACTTTAATACGCCAACATCTATTTCTATCAAATACACGGTAAATTTTAATTTATAGCTCATTATTCTACGTCATATGTCTTGTATCATATATCTTATCAACAATTTCAATTTACTGCATTGTCTTGTACCATTTACGCCACAGTACAAAGGTTTCGACAACGCTTTTCGTTTTCTAATGAAGGTATATTTTATAGAGATATTAGTAAAATAAAGTAACGAATTAACTCAGTTTAATAAATCATATTATTATATTAATATCATATAATATATCATATCATACTAATGTTATAAATGCGAAAGTTTAGATGGATGGATGAACGTTTGTTAGCGTTTATAGCCTAAACGGCTGAACGGATCTCCACTTAATTTGGCACAGGTTTAGAGCATAGCTTGAAAGAACACATAGGCTACTTATTATCCCGGGAATAGTTACGGTCCCCGTGGGATTCTATAATTTAGTTATTTAATGTTTACTCGATCATTCTGCAAAGGTTCTACACATCTTATTGAAATTTGGCACAGATATAAAACAAAGTCTGAAGTACACATGCGATAAGGTTCATCGTCGAAGAATGTCCGGTTCCCGAGGGATACGTAGCTTTTTGTTGTTTATGTAGTTTGTATGTTTCCTAATACCACGCGGACGAAGTCGCGGGCAATAGCTATTAAAAACACTAGTGTTTAATAAATTGTTGCGTGCAAGGAGTTTACTTTATTTCCTGTAAGCAGATACGTAAAGATATTATTTAATTGTGACAATCTTTATCTTGATAAAATCTATAAAGTTAATAAAATTGGTGAGTCTATACGTAATGCTAAAAATCTCCCTAGTTAACGAGTATGTTGTGTACAAGCACAAGCTAATGATATCAAAAATGCGTTTTTTTTGTCTGTCTCTTTGATAAATACGTTAATTAGTAACTGGGTGAGAGGGAAGCTAGGATGGTAGGTAGGTAGAGGCGTATAGTGAAGGGGTAGAGAGGAAGCACACGAATGTTTCACATACTGCCATTTTTTTTTTCGTTGACGAAATAGAAGAATTACGAGTACAAGATATAATATAAACAAAATGGATTTCGAAATATCAGAAAAAGCATCAGAGATTTGTAAAAAAAAAAGACGGAATTTTAAATTTATATCAGATTTACCTTGAACCTGAGGTCTCCCAGCGGAGGTTGTGCATACGGAATTCCTTTGAAGCTGAATATCTTTCCCCCATACTCGTTGTCGATCACCTCTCCTTCTAAAATGCCGTCGCTAATTCTTACCTGAACCATATTGGTACTCTACTGGAATATTTTTACAAGCAACTGAACGCGAAACGCAGAGACGTCTCATTATAAAGAAAAAATTGTGCCGATTCATTCAGTCACTTCGCAGAAGCTATTTTTATCGTAAGATAAGCTGTTTCCCACGGCTGATTTCGTATAGTTTAAAACAATCTTTCTCTCCCAATTTAAAACATTTTTAAATTCTGCGGTGACAAAATTAAGAACGTTCCCTATCTCCGGAACGGCTTCACCAATTTTATCGGGAAGGTAGCGGATATATGCGGGATTATACTGACCTTTTCATTTATTCCACGCTCTTAAAAAAAAAAACATCCATTTATTATAAGAAAATGTGTGGGAAGGAAAAGGGACTTAAGTTGGGCTTCCGGCACCACCACCAGACGAAACGCGGAATTGCTCCCACTTTACGCCTGTCTTCTGTATGGTCGTAACATCTTTGGCATTGCGGATATTCATGGGCGTCGGATTAATTATTATTCAGCTATCATCTGCTCGTCTCCCCTTTTTTAAATAGAAAAAAAACCGTACATATTTCCGGGATCACAGACAGCTTAAAAGTTCTACCAGACTGTGTTCATATTGTTCCAAATTTCACAGACATCTATTTCGAAGTTCTGGATATATCCAGTATGGCCTAGTTACAAATAACCATCTAAATAATCGCATTAAAATATTAACAATAAGATAATTTATATCTTATTAATAATCATTACGATAACATGAAATTATATAAAGATTTACTGTCGAGTAAATCTTTTATTTATTGATTAAATTTCAACAAAATACATTTTCATATATGTATGTTTCTATACTTGGTGCCATAAAACATTTATTGTTTGTAATATATGATCGAATAAATTACCTATTTGTTTCAATAACATACTCGTACTATTGCCTCTAATTTAACTCCTGCATCTGCAGGATTGATATTCCGTTCCATTAAAGCCAAAAATTAAAAGCCCGTAAATTAACTGGTCATTTTCAAAAAATATGTTATCGCGTGAAGCGAAACCAAAACGAAACCGAAGCGAAGCGAAATGGGATAGTCATAACAACTATGCAAATGCACGCGTTTTATGTTAGACTAGCTGTTCCCGTGTGGCTTCATCCGCGTGATATTATCAAAACTTTATTTTACTATTTACAGTAGTCAGATTTTAAATTACAAATGTCAAAGTTACCCTTCCCATAATGTACAGTTGTGATACCTTTACCATATGAAGGGTTTTCAAATTTATTTACCTCCTAAGTTCAATAGCGTGAAAACATCATACTAATATTATAAATTTGAAAGTTTGGATGGATAGATGGATGGGTGGATGGATGTTTGTTGGACTTTGTAGCCTAAACGGCTGAATGGATCTTGATGAAATTTGGCATAGATGTAGAGGATAGTCTGAAAGTACACATAGGCTACTTTCTTTTGTTTTTATTAATACCACGCGGACGGAGTCGCAGGCGGAAGCTAGTATAGTATAAAGCGTATTGTAAGTGTAGGGATTTTTAAGAAAGTAAGATTTTTTTCAAAAATATGCTGTGATTGCTGACATCCGACACTACAAAATAGTGTGTGTTTACGTTTTATTACATTAGTATTGATAAAGTATAGATGTGGTTTTAATCTTTTAGCCTGGCTGAAAAGTTCACTGGAACTAACACAATACATATTCTTATCAAAATTGAATTCGCTCTGGTTTCGCTTTGATCTTTCGTTAACGTATCACAACTTGTATGCCAAAATATGGAAATTTACTGATTGGACTACAAATGTAAAGCCTTATTAATTAAAAAAAAATTGTAAGCTACAAGTTTTGTATAGAAGTTTCTGTTACTATATACGCGAGCACCAAAATACTCGTAGATTTTAGGACATTCATCCCCTAAACGTTTGTAATGTTTTTGTGGAGAAATATTTTTTCCTTGAGCAGAATTGGTTGAAAATTGACATTAACACTTTTCGATACACAATAATTTACTACTTTATTTAGGCAAAGATTACAATAAAGGCGAATAAAAAGTTATCGTAGTTGTCAATGTATAATTATGGAGCCAAAATAATTGGACAAGGTCTTAATACCTAAGTTTCTGTCTAAAGTTGGACAGAAAAATTGTTTTTAACTTGACGCGGACGTAACCGCTTGAAACATCTTATCGTACGATAAAAATAGCGCCTGCGAAGTAATTTTGAATGATTCGGCACAAATTATTCTTTATAATGAGACGTCGCCGCTCTGAATATTCAGTTGCTTACAAATAACATTTTAGAAGAGCATTCAATATGGTTCAGGTACGAATTAGTGACGGCATATTAGAAGGAGAAGTGATCAACAATGAATATGGAGGAAAAATATTTAGCTTCAAAGGCATTCCGTATGCGCAACCTCCGCTGGGAGACCTCAGGTTCAAGGTAAATCTTATGTAAATTTGAAATTCTGCTTTGACTTTAACTTTTTTGTTGACGCAACATTGAATGTACTAGTGCTTTATTCTTCAACTAGTAGAGGTGCAATGTTTTTTGAAAGCTTACATATGAGGTGTGGCGACAGCGAATTTAGCACAGGGATCCTATTATCATGTCATTTTCTTATTGATTTCATCATGAGGAGAAAGTTTGAAAAGATGTTAATCCTTCAAAACATTAAACATTTTATTAATAATCAACTAAGATTGTTTAGGCAGAGGAAAAAAAGTTGGATTTTGTAATTTTCAAACTCTACGCGGACGTAGAATGCAACAGCTGGTATGATTTGAAATGTATTGTAAAACTGCAATTATTTTCCCTTTTTACAGGCGCCTTTGCCACCAAAACCTTGGACCGGAGTGCGGGATGCTAAGAAGTTGGGAAGCCCATGTCATCAGTACGATATTTTCCAACAAAAGTTCACTCCCGGAAGCGAAGACTGTCTGTACATCAATGTGTACTCACCGAACATAACACCCACCAAACCGCTGCCGGTCATGCTTTGGGTTCACGGAGGAGGTTTTACTAGCGGAAGCAGTACCGATCTATGGTATGGACCCGAATACTTAGTAAGACATGACGTTATTCTTGTTACGTTTAACTATAGAATCGAAGTTCTCGGATTCCTTTGCCTGGACATAGAAGACGCACCCGGAAACGCGGGCATGAAAGATCAAGTTGCTGCTTTCAGATGGGTTCAAAAAAATATCCGAAACTTTGGGGGAGATCCTAACAACGTTACAATTTTCGGAGAAAGTGCCGGAGGGGCTAGTGTATCCCTTCACCTTTTATCACCCATGAGTAAAGGATTGTTTAAGAGAGCCATACCACAAAGTGGACACGCTATTACTTATTGGGCAACAAGTTTTATGATTAAAGAAAGATCGTTACAAGTAGCTAGGGAACTTGGATGTAATTCAAAAGATGACAATGAAGTGTGCAAGTTTTTAAAGGCGCAACCTGTTGAAGCACTTGTTAAAAAATACATTTCAGTGACGTATGTGGAATCAAATAAAGAAGCTCTAATGGTGCCCTTCACTATAACTGCAGAAAAACAATTTGGAAATAATGAAAGGTTCATGATCATCGAGCCCATCGAAGTATTGCGTAATTACGGCATACATGAAGGTGTGGATGTAATGGAAGGCTACACGGGTGATGACGGAGTTTTGTTACTAGGATCTAGTCAAAATGTTCACAAAATGTTCGTTGAGGCTAATAAGTATCCAGAATTTTTCGTACCCAAACCCCTTACTATTCATTGTCCGCTAGTCGATCAAATGGAAATAGGTAAAATGATAAAGAATTACTATTTTAAAGATGAGGACGTTTCTATGGACAACGTTTTCTCTTTGCAAGAGTATCTTGGTACAGAATACTTTAAGTATCCCACAATTTTATTTCAAAAAATGTGTGCAAAAAGAGGGAAAAACAAGGTTTTCCTTTACACATTTACTTGCAAGTCTGAATTAAATGTTGTCAAACATGTACTGGGAGTAGCTGATATTATAGGAGATAGGGATGTAGCCTGTCATGCTGATGATCTCCCTTATATTTTCCCTATGAAAGTGTTCACCGAAAATAACCCAAATATCGATATCTCTCGAGTCATCCATTTGATAGATCGAGTTACAACACTTTGGACCAATTTTGCTAAATACGGGTAAGATACGTGTAATCACTATTTTGAAATGTTTTCAATTTTAAAAATTTATTTTCTAATAGTTAATTGCATTGTTTTGTTCACAGTAACCCAACACCTGATGGAAGTCTCGGCGTTATTTGGAAACCGTATTCTTTGGAAGGACAGGACTTTTTGGACATTGGTAATAATTTAGTGGCCGGTACTGCACCCGACAAGGATGAACTGGAATTCTGGGAAAGTATTTTCAAGAAATATTGTCCGAAGTTTGCCCCTTGAAGTAACAAATATTGATTTTTTTAATAAACGTCTTTTGAAATTAGTCAAAAATATGTTTTGTTCATTCTTTCCTTTTTACAAATTTTTTAAGTTGCCAAAATCAACTCCTAATTTTTGCAATGATTGTGGTACACAGTGATATTGTCGAGTATTACTCTAGTGAAATTAAATAATGAAGGTAGCTGATGTGTCTACCTAAACTAACCTCTTTTCTCGAAGCGTTACAGGGCACTTATGACACCCTTGTCACTTCGTTGTGAATTAAGATAGAAGGTTGAAATTTTGAACATCAATAGATATACCAGAATTCATTATATTGCCAAAATATCTTTTAATTATACCTATTAGTTTACAAATTGTCAATAGTTTATTCTACACTTCTTTTACACAAATGCATGTTTAACTGCTATTTTAAGACATTTTCAATAGTGATATAAACTTGAAATTTAGAATTTAGTCAGCGCTTTGTCTATAGATTTTATTGAAACTGAAAAATCTTCAAATTTACAATAAAAAAAGATGTTTTCGTTTAAAACATACAAAAATTCATGTAACTTCTTTATAAATAAACTTACACATGTGTGTGATGTCAAAACCTATCAACCCAAAAATTTAATATAGTTTGTAGTTTTCGAAAATATCATTGTTTGGGTATTGTACATGAAAACGACTTAACAAAAGGCACATGCCATTCACTATCGCGTTTTAACATACACGTGTCACCATCTATTATTTGTACGTGAAACTACTGGGCTGCGATGAGTGTTTGTTACACTACTATAAATTAATAAAAAATTATTTAAGTACTCAAAAATAAAAAATGTAATAAAACAACAAAACCGACTTCCAAACAAAATACACGAAAGACAAAATATTAATTAAATAATTCGTAAATCAATCAGATTTCCCTAATTGTAGCTATTATGTCTATATTGTACAATTTTTTTTATTTGGTCGATCTCCGTTTCTATCGTTTCAAAAGCCAATTTATATTCGGTTCATTTTTTCAAGAAACCATATGTTGCATTTTTATTGAATTTAAAAAATAAAGCCTACCAAATTTTATGTGATACGTGAGCGTTTGCAGGTTTTTGTTACTGACATGTTTAAGAAATAAAGCAAAGTATTTGGAGGTAGTGCGTGTGTGTGTCTGTCAGTATGTGATATGCCGTTTATATTATCACCTGCTAGCTGTTGTTTGCGACATGGTCCACGTGGAATTAAAAAAAAAGTTAACAACATGGTACGGGCCTCACAGCCGTGTTATGCTTTAATTAAATATAGTTAGTCTTCTTTACCTGCCATGTATTCTTCCAATACAGAATAACCTTACCAATAATACCATTATTCCATGTATCCACGATGGCCATTACCAATATGGCCGTCGTGTCGTCGATCCAACAATGCGACATCCTTATTTTTAATATCTGACTACTGTCCGATTATTAACATAATAAGTAGAATTCCGACATTTTAAAACCATGACATAAATATTTCAATAATGTGTTAGATCACGATTACAAAGGTTAAATTGTTATTTAAATAAAGATAAATGGTATTGATTTAGCGTCGGTGACTCAGTGATTTGAACTCTTGACTTGTAATCTACAGGTCTTGGGTTCGAATCCCGCCATGTACCAATGTGATTATCGATTTTTCGAATTTTCATATGTACATAATTTACGCGACGTTCTTACGGTGAAGGAAAACATCGTGAGGCAACCTGCGCCATATCGGCGAAGAAATTCAAAGATATGCGTGAAGTCACCCAACCCGCACTTGGCCACCCTTTATTAGGATAGGCTCCGAACCCCTCGGTGGAGGACTACTGGTGAGCTGGTGATGATGATGGTTATGTATTGATTTATAGCACAGACTAAATAACCTTCATGAACACAGAATAGTGTAGATTTGATTATAAAATCACTTGGAAATGTTCTAATGTATATGTATATCAATTTACGGCAGAATTTAAAAAAGATCACCGTGTGTTTTTTTATTTCTTCTGAGCCTCACGCATTTTAATGCCCCAAGATTTAAATCTTTCAAAAACACGGTAAATTGCAATTCGTAACTTATTATTGTAAGTCATTGTATATCTTATCTCATAACTGTATCTTATCAAAAAACCTTTTACGTCGCAGTATAAAGGTTTTTTTACAATTCTTTTCATTTAATAATAAATTATTTTTATTTAATTTTTATTATTACATTTTTTGGCATGCGACACATACGCCTTACACGTGTTGTTTAATTTAGGGACTGGAGACATTATGATTTATAAATGTAATAAATGTAGTGTGTATTATTACATAACGGGACGAAATGATTGTTAATTTTTGGAAGAATAAAGTAACTGGCAACTCATAATTTTGAGTACTGGCTGAGGCTGAAAGTGCATCGCGCATGATAGATGTCAAGACGACTGTAGTATGACGGATGACAGTTGTCATTGAATGGTGAAATGATGTGCTTTGTTGTTATAAAATCAATTGGTTAATCTCTATAATTATTTACAATTCTATTAGAGTGTGTTGTGAAATTATCAATTAAACTAGTGGTCAACTTAGGATGGTGTTCCTAATGATACGCGATTTTTATTCAATTATCTCTGACATATGCACGACCACAATGCAGGATTGTTACCGTATATATGATCTACCTTCGGAATTGAATTCCACAAACTGCACGTCACTCTGACATCAGAAATGGAATCGGAGGAGATACATCACGCAGTCCACTATTCAGTGGAATTCAACCTGACGGTATTCGACCAGTTCCATTCTTTTTCTTATAATAAATGTATAGGAAGAGGACGTGGATTTGATGGCGGAGGAAACTCATAGGTAGGAGAAATGTCGCCTTTATGTTCGTCTCCTCCTCAGTCGATTAAGGGTATGCAACGCATCCGCTACTGCGAATGTCTAAGGGCAGCGGTCGATTTGCCTATTTGGCGGATTCAGGAATCTGTTTGCTCGTTTGCCACCTTGTAATATAAAAAACATCAAATTATTTCAAAAAACAAAATGATCAATGTACGCCAGATTTACCTTGAACCTGAGGTAACCTAACAGAGGTAGTGCATGCCTTTGAAGCTGAATGTATTTCCTCCGTAATCATTGTTGTTCACCTCTCCCGAAATGTCGCTAATTCGTACCTGAACCATATTCTACTGAAATGATTTTATAAGCAACTGAACGCGAAATGCGAAGACGTCTCATTACAAAGAAAAATGTATGCCGATTTATTTTGTCACGTTGCAAAAGTTATTTAAACCGTAAGATAAGTTGTTTCCCACGGCTATGTATCCGCATTATGATAAATTCATTATACTAATACTAATATTGTATATGCGAAACTTTAGATGGATGGATGGTTTCAGGTTGCAGCCTAAACTGTTGAACGAATCTCGATAAAATTTCGCATAGATAGTAGTGGTTAGTTTGAAAGAACATATAGGCTACTTACTCAACGGCTTTTTTTTAATTCCACACGGACAGAATCGCATGCGAAAACTGGTTGATCTATAGAAAATAAGGGAATTTACTGAATCAACTATAAATATAAAGACAAATTAATTGATAGCTCGAAGTTGGTATAGAGGCTCCTCCCCACCAACGGTTCCCGCCTTGTCGTGGCGGTGGGGCTCAGTAGCCG